GGGGTGACTGGAGAGCAGGACTGGGCTCCGGGTGAGTCTCCAGCTGGGCTTTGCCACCAGAAACTCATCCCTCCCTCCAAGCTGGAGGATTCACTTTGCAGGGAGGATGCTCTGTTTGCTGGGGGCTGATGTATTTTGTCCTGCTCACACGGGACATCAGGAACAAGCCCAGTCCTCTCAGTGTGTGATGTAGAAAGGCCAGGCAGAGCCTAGAGGCCTGGCTAGAAGGACAAGCAGCCAGCACTGCCTCATCCTCAGCCAGGTACTTCCCAGCTGGAGAAGAGCTTTCCCTGGGACCAGCCTGCTGTTTTCCAGCTCCCAGATCCTGCAATAAGGCCATAAACCTGTGCTTGTGGTTTCAGTGCCCAGTGACACAACGTGCTGTCAGACATCCAGCATCCTGCCCACGGCAGCATCCTCCAGCCGGGAGGGGATAACTGGGGGGGGGGTTGGCATCAAGCAGAGTTTGTGAAGGCAACTATTACCCTTGGAGTTGGAGACAATTTAATCACATCCCTCAAAGTCAGGGACAGAAGAGATTTGGCCCACCTCTTCTGATTTGGGTCTTCTCTACTGAAAACCCCCTTTTATCTCTATAATGCTCTGTATTGCAGAGATTTCCAATGGGAATGGGAAAGCTCCATTCCCGGGGTTGCAGGACAGCAGGAAGGGCAGCTTTCAGGGGAGCTTGCAGTAGGAACTGCATTGGGAACAGGAGAGGTACAAATGGTTCGGGTGAAGTTGTCTCACCTCAACAAGAGGAAAGGCTGTGCATGAACAAGAGGAGTTACAAGGAAATACCATGTGCATTCAACAATTATTCCTGACAATTAAAGTGAACTCTAATTCACCAGTAACAATGACGTGAGTCCTCAATGCTGGTCAGAACACACCAACACAAGTGATTACCAGGATCAATGGCTTTTTAAAGACCTCCCCACCCCAAATTTGATGCTTCTACAAGAAAGAGGTACTTCATCACCTACTGAGAACAGTAATGGTTTCTTGGAGTTTCATTCAAAGTTCAATTCAAACTCTTTGACATGAACCAGTTGGGGCTGCCACATCAGGAGTGAGACCCTTGAGATATTTCCCGCTGTTTGCAGATACAAAGTTGGCTAAAGAGAGATGTTTTCACTGCTCAGAATCCCAAAGTGACCAAAATGGAAAACAAAACCCAAATAAAACCATGCAGCTTTGTTGGTAGAGCCTGTACATTCTACCGGGGGGTGGGGGTGGGTTGTTTTGTTTTGTTTTGTTTTTATTTCTCAGTCGAAACATGCTGTGACAACAAGGGCTTCTTGTAAATGCACAAGCTCACACCCACCCTTGGTACATCTCCACAAACCTCAGGGCGCTCATGGAGCTGTGGTTTTGTCCCACCCAAGGGTGGCCCTGCCCTTGTCACAGTGTATTCCAGGAATGTTTTCTCTTTCTTTCTCCTCTTCACTCTTTCTTCATCCTCTCAACAGCCAACCACCAGTGACAAAAGCACTTCACACCTGCATTCTGCTGGCCACCAAGTCATGGTGGAAAAGCCAAAGGCACACAGAAACCTGTAAATAAATCACCCAAATAAGCAGTGGATTCATTTTCTGGCTACACTGATCTCTGCCATAGGCTTGGGGCTGGATGGATACCTAAGGTATCAATTTTCCTCACACCTCAGGACCAGTTTTCTGCATGTTTCTGCTGCTGTGGATCTACACCAGCTCCTGTAGAGTCCAGCAGTGACATGAATCTAAGCAGGGCCAAGCTCTGATCCTTCATCTTTTATCAAATGCAATTTGCAAAAGTCAATATTTGAAGGTACAATGGCAAGGTCTGTGCCAGGGTGAGGACACAGAGGTCTCCCCAGTTAAACCCCAAGCAGCCCTCTCCAGGCAGGTCCAGTTCCCACCCAGAGTGGCCATGGAGGCTCTGTGAAAATCAAAGGGCACCTGCAAATTTCCAACCAGCAAAGACCTTGTGCTTTGCAGAACTACCATTGTCCCCCTGGATCATCTGAATGGCACAATGGCTTTTATAGATCTCAGCTTTCCTAGTGACAAGGGAATCCAGCCTAACCCTGCCAACACATCCGATACCAGGAAGTGGAGAGCAATGGGACAGTCCAGTTGCTCTGTGATCTCCTGGAACCCAACAGGTAGATAGGGGCTGCTTGGCTCTTTTCACCACATTGGAATATGTTTTGGATCCACAGGGAATCCACAGATGATTCACTGGACTGAAAACCAGCTGGAAAACCCATTTTGTTTTCCAGTGCTTCCTTATCATTGTTGCCTCATCCACATGTGATACCATTGCATGCATGGGAACTGCTCCTTTTTTATGGCAACTCATCCAAAGTCAGGCCCAGTATTTTATCCTAAACGTGTCCCAAAGCCAACACTGAAGCATCCCAAACACAGGATATTCCCACCCTGCTCACAGCACCACTAACTTCCTGAAGATTTTAAGGTTTTAAGTCAGGCCTCCTCATGTCCAATATAAGGAGTATCCAACATCCACCATCCTCACTGATGTCCAACATTGTCACTTGAAACTTTTCCAGTAGAAGATTTTCTTAATGAAAAACAAAACCAGAACAAAATCAAGCCAAAAACAAAGTGCCAAAGCAAAGATGCAGTAAAAAGGTCAGAGATTTCCACAACATATTGCATGGCAGGTGAACCTAAACTTCTTTACCTTCTGCCTCACTCCTCCTTGTTTTCTCTCCTTTCCACTGATTAAAAAGAAAGGAGAGAAAAAACAGCAAAGGAAAATAAAAGACCCAGAAAATACATTTATTTTTACTTAGGGGAAAGACTGCAGAAATGTCAATTTAACAAGACAGTTTTTAGAGGAGAATTCTTGAGACTTTCCCTGAAACCTAGCAAGTGTTTTTAACAACTTCCATGGACAGCTCAAAGAGAGAGAAACTAAACCATCAGTTGAGAAAAAATTAGGTTGAGATTTTACACCGACTCTGAGCACGGAGAATATACTTGTGCCACATCTTGGTACTGGTTGTGAGCTGGGTCAGAGCAACAGAATCAGTGTCTCCTTCATGCAAGGACCAGAACTGGCAGCAGAGTTTGACAAAGTTGCTGTAGAGGGGTTTGGGTGAGTACCCTGGGTCTCAGTGAAGACATCCCCACCTGCTCTCAGCCTCAGCTGTCTGGCAGGAACTGTGTGCTCAGCTTTAGCTCTCACTTCCCAAATCCTTCACCTATTGCTGTGGAGAGACATGGAGGGTGTGTGTATGTGTGAATTATTTTCCACTGATTCTTATTTGACTTTGGCAAATTTTGTCAATGGATCCCTCAAACTGAGACAAGTTTCAAGTATACAACTAAAAAAAGTTTGTTAAAATCAAGCTCTTCAGCAATAAGGGGATTACTGGAAAGCCAAGAGAATGCAACTGTTCTTCATGCTAAAGTTTCTCTAGAGTTGATTAGTTAAACTACATTTCACCCAGAGACAAAAAATGAGTTGCCCAGAGAAACAAATCCCATCTCCTAGATAGGGTGGTTGTATAAAATCATTTCAAGATGTTCACAATGTTTCAAAAATGGTTTAAAGCTATTGAATTTTTTGCATTGAGGATCTGCAGGGACCTGGCTGCACTTATGAAACCAGAAGAAATAAAATTAGCAGAGTGTTTGTATAAATATTACTCTTTGTTAAATTAATCTATTTACTTTAAAGCTTACATTGATTCAATATTGTGCCTACTGCCCCCTGCCCAAGGTATTTAAAAGAGAAAGGAAATGAAAAAAAAACAAAACCACAAAACCAAAAAACAGAGTGTGGCCACCTTTCAAAGGCAGACAGTAAGTCCAAGTTCCAGGCACACTTTGGAGATTCACAGCTTTCTCATGTGCACTAAGCTCCAAGGAGCAAGAGAGTCATTGCACAGATCCAGGGAGAAATACACTTGGGTCTGTCTGTACCCAGCCATAAAGTGCCTCTGTACCCACTGCAGACACACAAAGCAAGGACAATTCTTCCACCAGCCCAGGTTGCTCCAAGCCCCGTCCAGCCTGGCCTTGGACACTTCCAGGGATGGGGCAGTCACAGCTTCCCTGGGCAACCTGTGCCAGGGCCTCCCCACCCTCACAGGGAAGAATTCCTCCCCAGTCTCCCATCTAACCCTGCCCTCTGGCAGTGGGATGCCATTCCCTGTGTCCTGTCCCTCCAGGCCCTTGTCCAAAGTCCCTGTCCAACACCACAGCAATTTCTCTAAAGGAAAGCAGAATGTTTGGGATACCAGGCTCAGCTGGTGAGGGTTCTCCAGAGTTGTTCCCACGTCAGGTCCTGGAGCAGCACCCCCTGCCTGTGCCCTGAGCCTCCCTGGCTGCTCCACCCCGGGCCCTGCCATCCCGTGAGCGTGGCTTCGTTTCCTGCTCTGTAAGTGAATGCACTTCCACTGCTCAGCCAAAAGAAAGCACAAGGTAAAGGACACTTCATCTGTCTCACTAACACCACAAAGCACATCAGACAGCAGGGGAATGGGAGGGGCCCGTTGCTTCTCTAACGAAGAGAGTTAAATTGGCAGCATCAGGATTAACGTGCGTGATTACAAGGCTTCCCTCTTGGGGACCCCAGCAAGCCTGGACCCCTCTTTGGATCAAAATCCCTCCCCATGTAAACGACTGGTGTGGAAGGGAGTGCAGAGGGGGGAGAGCATCACCCCACAGCCCCAGTCGGACAGGAGAGCCCTTCCTTGGTCTCCTAGACTTTGGGGTGCACCCCAACTGCCCTCCCCACCCACACACCATCAGCCCTCCCCCTGCCCCGGTCACCTTTGGGAGGGGGGGGAAGGACGGAATGGATTCCCTGGGTACCTCCATCCCTGCGACAGCCCAAACAACCCAAACCTAAAGAGCCTTTTGCCCCGCAGGTTCTCGAAGTGCTTCACAAACGACACAGACACAGAGAGGCCCCGTGCCCCCCGCGGGTCCCCTCAGCCCGCCCCCCGGCCGGAGCTGTCCCCTCCGCGGTGCTGGAAACCCCCCCCCGGTTATTGCATAGCATCGCAAGACCTGATTTCAGGGGAGTGGGCGCCCCGCGTAACAACCCCACGCGTGGGGACCAGCCCCGCCGGGGGGTACGTGACACCTGCCCCCGCCCGCTCCTGTGGCCTTCCCGTGGGATGTGCCTCGAGGCGTGGGACCACCCGGATGGGGCCCGCTGCTCGCCTGGCTCCTTACCCCGAGAGCAGATAAACACCATCGTACGAGGATCCTTTTTCTTTCCTTTTCATTCTTTCTTTCTTTTCTTTTTTTTTTTTTTTTTTTTTTTTTTTTTTTTTTTTTTTGTTTTGTGTTTTTAAATAAAAAATAAAATGCGTAAGAAAATAACATTTCTAAAGGAAACCATTATCATTCTACTCTCTCTCTTTCTTTCCCCCTTCTTTTTCCCTTTTTCTCTTTTTGGCCATCTTTCCATGGAACGAGATGTGCTGACCGGGGGGTCCCTCCCGGTAGGAAACAATAACGACAGAGGGGAAAAAGAGAAGGAGGAGGAGAGCAAGGGAGCACCTCTGGCTCCGTGCTCAGTCCTCACACATCGCTGGATGTCCTTGGTCTGGAGGAGAACGTGGAGGGGATGCACCCGCAGCAGGCCAGCCAGAGGGACTTCTGGATGTCTGGGTTTCTGAAGGCGTAAATGATGGGGTTGATGAGGGAGTTGCAGGTGGCGGGCAGCGCCAGGGAGTAGGTGTAGACCGCGGGGTAACTGGAATCGGCCACCAGGGAGTAGATGGCGAAGGGGATCCAGCACAGGGCAAAGGTGCCGAGGATGAGCGAGAGCGTGGAGAGCCCTTTGCGGGTGGAGGTGGCCTGCGCCGTGGCGATGAACTGGTGCTGCACGGCGATCTGCTGGGCGTGCCGGAAGGCGATCTTGCAGATCTGCAGGTAGAGCTGCATCATGAGGGCGAAGAGGAGGAGGAAGGTGACGGCCAGCACGGCCGCGTTGTCCTTGGTGACGGGCCGCAGGATGCTGCAGGCGCTCTGGTCCCGCAGGCAGTTCCAGCCCAGGAGGGGCAGCAGCCCCACGCCCAGGCACAGCAGCCACATCAGCAGCACCATGGCGCAGGTGAAGCCCAGTGTGCGCTCGCTGTGGTAGGTGAGCGCGTTGTACAGCGACAGGTAGCGGTCCACGGTGATGGCCAGGAGGCTGCAGACGGAGGCGGAGAAGGCGGCGAGCAGCAGCCCCGCGGCCGCCAGCTCCGCCGCCTCGCTGGGCGGCCGCAGCAGGTACCGCACGGCGATCCGAAGTTGGCACCAGCCCCAGCCCGGCCAGGCCAGGTCGGGCCAGCGCCAGGCTGCCGATCAGCAGGAAAAAAATGGGCGCCCGCAGGCTCGGCGTGCTAGAACAGCACGGCGAGCCTAACCAGCGCGTTCTCGCCCCCACCGCCGTGCCCGTGGCGCACAGCGCGTAACATGTCCCAGGGCGCCTCACGGCCCCGCGGCCCCTCCGCCGCCCGGCGCGCCGCCGTGCCCGGCCCGCCCGCCGCGAGGGCCAGGCGGGCGGGCTCCGAAGCGTTCCGGGGCCCGGGAGCCGGCTGCTGCTGCGGCTGCGGCGGGCCCACGGCTTCCCCCATGGCGGCGGGCGCCGTGCAGCATCGCTGGGGAGAGAGCCGAGAGGGGAGGTCAGGGGAGGCACCGGCACCGGGGAAGAGCCCCGAGCCCCGCACACCCGAGGCCCGGAGAGCCCCACACTGAGCCCGGGGAGAGCCGCCGACCCCCGCACTGAGCCGGGGCACTCCCGCGCTGCAGAGCCACACCGAACCGGGGAGCCCCTCACCGAGCCCGGGGAGCCCCTCACCGCAGCCCACCTCCGCGCCCGGAGACTCCCGCACCGTGCCCGCCCACACAAGCCCGGGACACCCCCCCTGAGCCCCACACGGGCTCCGGCGCAGAGCCCGGCCCAGGGACATCCCACCCCGCGTCCCGCACCGGACCGCCCCCGCCCGCCGCATCCCCGCCCGCCTCCCGCCAGTCCCACTGACGCTTTCCTGGATCCAGCCTCCCGCAAAATATCCCCGGCCAAGGCTTCGCCGTCCCCCCCACCCCACACGCACCCCTGGCCGCTCTCTCTCGCTATCACCCGCTCCTCCCGCCGGGCTGAGGCCGAGCACAACTCATCACCCCGCTGCCCGCACCAGCCTCCGTGCGCTTCGGCTCACGCAGGCGTCCTGCAGCCGCTGCGCACCCGGGAAGAACTGGCCGCCCCCTCCTCCTCCTCCCCTACCCCGCGGCACGCCACCTTTGCTACCTATTTATAGCGCAGCCCCCCCAGCCCCTCCCGCAGCCCTTTCTTTTTTGCGTGCAGTGGGTAAAAATAAACACTATTAATAGGCCAGCGCCTGTATGCGGAGCCGCCGATGGAAGGAGAAGGCATCGGCAAGGGACAGCCTGCATTAACTTTCTCCTTCCTCCCTCCCTTCCCCTGCTTTGGAAAAGGCTGGTGCAAGATGCTCCCAGCCGGCTGCAACATCCTGCCCTGCTCGGCAGAGCAAATCCCCCCTTCCAGGGTGGGCAGCCGAGGTGTGAAGGTCGGGGGGGGCTCTGCCCCCAGCCGCTGCCGTCCCCCGCCGCCACCATCGCCCCATCCCGCATGCAGCCGCGACGCCGGGGGTTGTTGTTTTACCTGGTTTTAATGCACGAGGATCAGCTTGTTCCCCCCACGTTTTTATTTTTTTCCTTCCCAGTCCTTCCAGCCCTTGGTGCGAAGCCTCATTCCTCGGTGAGCATCGCTAATAGCGTTGGCAGAGAGCTGGCATCGACTTGCACTTAATATTCCTGCCCCATTGGATCTGCTGATAAATCTCAACTCTGACGTCAAAGTCTTCACTTATATTCATGATCCAAGTCTGTGAATCAGAGCCGCTGTGATCAGAATAACAACAAGGCTGGCTCCCTGCTCCACATCCACATCCACACCCGCAGGCACGAGGGGGGTGCGCGCACCGCCCGCCGATCGTTCATTCATGAAGGCTCTCCTCCCGCAAAACCCCGACGCACCTCCCCAAGGTCGGGGCCCGCTGCACCCGCGTCCTGCGGATGCAGCTTTGGGCTGGAGCCAGGCCCCGGCGCCTCGCAGGGTTTATTTTTACCGCCTGTGCCGAGGGACGCGGGGTTGGGAAAGGAGGGGGTGACACGGCGTGGCGCGGCTCCGACGCCCCGATCTTCAAGGACGATGTCCAGGGACGGCACCGCCAGCCCTCCTGTGCCCCCAGGAGACGGCAGCTGGAGGGGTTCAGGGGTCCTGTGCAACCAGGTTGAGCAGCTGCATCCCTCCTCTGGGGAGACATCGCACCCCAGAGCCTTCGCCCACAGAGGCTTCCCTCCAGTCAGCGGAAAGCTGGGATGAGGAGGATCCACACCTAGGAGCTTCCTGTGGGCTGCCCAGCCCTGCCCCTGCCCCCCTGTGAGGGGACACCTGCCCAAGGGCTGGGGATCTGTCCCTCACCACAGCACCCACCCACTCATTCATTCTCAAAGCTTCCTTCCTCACTATTTGGGAAAGGATCAGCCCAGAAGGGAACAAATCCCAAAGGCACTATTCTTTTTCCAGCCATAAATGGCTCCACGATTCAGGTCGGGAGTAGAATCATCAAAGCAGGAATGCTCAGCTCCTGGATCCACGGGATTTCAGTTACACCTTCTCCCTCCTTTCCTATTGGTTTCATAACACTCCAGCTCCACTCTTTCATCTCCCTCTCTGTTCCAGGCTGTAGCTGTGCAGTGCAGCGAGCTCAGTGCTGGGAAGGATTTCCAGCTCCCGATGTTCAAAGATATTTAGGTGAATATCAGTGATTTTGGCTGAACCCAACCGCCCCAGTTTGGAGCATCTGGGTTCTTAATCAGGCCAAGCCCCATCCCAGGGGACTTGAATCGTCATCTACCTGGGGCCGCCGGGCGCGTGACCGAGCGGTGCGTGCGAGTGACAGGAGCGGCACCAGAGGGGGCGGAGGGAACCGAGCGAGGAGCTGAATGAATTCGCTCCCGCTCCCGGTAATTACGCACGGCCCGTGAAAGGGGAGGCGGGTGAGGAGTTCTGCCTGACTCCCATCGGCAGCGGCATCTGCCAGGAGGTGGGGGCAGGAGCCGGGCTGGATGGAGCCGCTGCGGCAGAGGGGATGTGCCGCCCATGGGGTCCGAGCCCCCCCGGGGGCCTCAGGCTGAGATGAGTGCGGGTGGTCTCAGCTGATGGGCCACGAGCAGCCGCCGGGCTGAGCAGGGATGTCCCCGCTGCCCCAGCCAGTGGCTGCCACGTGCCCTACCCGACCGAGGGGAGGCTGCAGCAGCCCCGGGCCCCGCCGGCACCGAGGCTGAGCGGGGCGTGCCCTCGGACGCCCAGTTGCCCCAGTCTGCCCCTTGGATCCTCTCATCTGTCTGTGCCTCTTGCACAGACACACCCCCCCGGTGGGTCTCAGCTGACCCCAAATCCCACGGGCTCACTGGAATTGCCTTGGAGCTCCTGCTCCCTCCAGCATCCCACCCCTTTCCAGCCTCTCTTGCAGAAATGCTCTCAAACACCCACCTCTTCCATAGTGGCCCTGGTGACCCCCCACATCCCTTCTCCACCTTCAGTTGTTCCCCCTGACACCCCACCACAAGTTTGGCACAATCCCAGGATATTTTTTCCTGTGTCCCCAGCAGGTATTTTCCTGCTGTGCTCCGGAAGCGCTCCCTTGCCATGCACTCATCCCAGTGGTGGGGCTGCTTGTCCTCCAGGGAGCAGCAGCTCCATGCCTCTGAGGAGGGTTTGGGGAGTCTCCCCGCTTGGCTGTGCTCCCCCCAGGTGCAAGGGAGCACACAGGAAGCACTGGCAGAAGCTTTTCCTCCTCCCGTGCTGCAGCCCAGGCTCTGCCTGGGTCCTGGAGGGAGCTGACCCCAGCAGGTGAAGTGCTGATGGTGCCCCAGTGCCCCAGGCAGCCCCACATCCAGGCATCGTGGCCCTGAGACTCCCGGACCTTCCAGCCCGGGGCTGGTCTGTGAACTCTGCATCCCCAGGGAGGGCCTGGGTGGCAAAACGGGCTGAAAGAGGTCTCAGGGCTGTGCCAACACATCCCCATCCTCCTCTGCCTTTGGCCCCAGAGTGAGGGGGGCATAGACCATCCCATGTGCTGCCTACCCAGCTGTGTTCCAGAGTATTGCCCCATGAGCTGAGAGTTGTTTTAGGATGTCCTTAGACCCTCCCAGCAGTGCTGGTGCCTGTGCTGGACACAGACAGCAGAGGGGCTGCCAGGACGTGGCCGCTGCATGGGGCTGGCACATCTGTCCGTCTGTCTGAAAGGGGAAATTGTGCCACTGGGGTACCCCAAGAGGGTTGAGGTTTACAAGTGACAAAAATGACATTATCTGGCCCCTTTTAAACCAAGGCACGCTGCCCCCAGAGCTGCCCCATTGTGTCTGTGAGAATGAGCCACTGTACGCAGTATTTTCAATGTTTGAGACTCTACTTTTTAAGGTTCTGAGCTCCCTGGGTACCTGCAACACCATTCTGACAACATGTTAAATGTGCTTTATCTATATTCAAATTAGACTCAGTAGCAAGGAGCAAAAGTCAAAGCTAATCAAAGACACCAGCCTAGGCCTGACACCATAATTACAGAGCAAGAGGCCACCAGCCTCAACTGGGAAGGCCATTCAGCACGGAGAAGGTTTTCCCTTGTCGTCTTCCATCTTCATTCCTCATCTCCCTCCTTGGCTTTCGGCCCCTGGGTAAAGCTCAATGATGAACAAGACACAGGATCTTCCTTTGGCACTGCCCCGCAGGGATGTGGGTGCTGCCAGCCCACGGCAGGGCTTGACCTGGCTCTCCTCCTGCCTTAGGAATTGTGCTTTTTTGGTTAAAACAAGGGGGTGGCAAGTTGAAAACACGGTGGCAATCAGTAATGTCCCAGGCAGAGCCCACTGGGAACCAAAGCTTGCACAAGGGTTGCTGTTCAATGGGTGGTGCAGAGCTCACCAATTCTCCATCATTTTTACCTCTAAAAGTACTAAAATTGGCTTTAAATCTTTTCCTTGGGGAAATGTTGTCACATTCCAGCATCACATGAGCTTTTCCCACCCAAGCTTCCACTCCTGTGTGACAGACCTATGAGCTTGTTGCCTTGAGACCCCCAGGAGGGGCTTAAAGTCGCTCTGTTGGAATGTTCGCCCCCATATTTATCCCGGCACCGTTTCCGCAGTGAGCGGATCCAGCCTTATTCCAGCTCCTCCGTTGTTCCCTGTTACTCCAATGGTGCTTGAAGAGCTCTAAGAAGGAAAAGCACAGCTATAATTAGCAGTGCTGACTAATCAGGGCGGCAAACAAGCGCACTGCGCCCGCCAGCCTCCCCAAATCGGGGCTGTCGGGGGCCGCGCGCCGCCGGGAGCGCGGAGAGTCCTATATTCCAAGGCTTTGCATAATTCTTGGTGGAAATGAGGCCATTTTCTCACTGCTGCCACCAGAAAGAGAGGACTTCTTCTGGTGCTGGGGTCCAGCATCCCAGCCTGGTGGGAAGTACTGGGGCTCCATGGTGGGTTTGGGTGTTTGAGGTGCTCATGGTGGAGCTGGAGGATGGCAGGCAGGAGTCTGGCTGATAAAATCCTCCACGTCTGTTGAAAACCAG